CTACTCACTGGTTGAAATGAGTAGTAGCTGTATACACCACTCATATCATCAACCAGTATTGTTTGCTACCTAGACAGATCGAAGTGATATAAACACCGGACGATCGTTTAGGGTTGGCCGATCTCATCAGCGGTGTGTATCCGGTTGGACTGAGGTCAGAGAGCCAAATCACTTCAAACTACGCCCGATTTAGGCTCTCTGAGTTGAGTCAAACTGGGTACACACGACTGATGAGCTCGGCCAGCATTAAATGAACCCTGATACATTAAGCCCCATCACTCCAATGCATTCATTTATATGCAATTACACAATATGGTCGGATATGTTTAGAAGGAAAGAGAGAGAGAGAGGTTAGTCGCTGAATCTTTATTCACCGAATCACCACTAGACACGTACAATCGAAATGATGTAACGCCTGTACCGGAGATATGGAAAACTGCAACAAACAACAAGGGCAAGAGAGAGAGAGAGAAAAAGTATATATAAAGCAAATAATGAAGCCATGTGAATAAATTGATATAATTATGAACAATGAATTGTGCTTGAAACGTTATCCAATTACCAGCAATATATCACTGTGTGTTGTATCGAATAAACTTATCTAATTTAGACTTATGATACTTAGCTCACTGGTTAGACTGTTCTACATCCACTATTTAATAAAGTTCAAGTATTTACCTAAGACTATATACTACTGACTAATTGAGATGAGTAGTTGTATACCATTTGTATCAACCGGTAGTGTTTACTAGCCAGTTAGATCTACATGATGTCTTTCTGAGCTAAGTCAAGTCAAGTACACCGCTGATAAGATCAGCTCCAAACGAGAGAAACAGTCATACCAGTGTTTAGATCATCCTGGTCCCACTAGCAAGCACTGCTGGTGTTGATGTGAGTGGTATCTAACTATTCATATCGAGCAATTAGTAGTACACAGTTTTATGCGAATAAGCTTGCTTTCTTGATTACCACAATTTATAGTACCAAGCACATCACATGTTGTGGTAATCCAAATAAACTGGTTTCCAAAGAAAACCTTGATGACATTTCATTCCTCGAACTGTATACAGTCGAGCATAACCAATGAGCATTAAAATAAAATGATGCATGCCATAAAATTGAGTTTTATTCATTCGTGACCGCTTCGTTTGATTGATGACGGCTTTTTTGATTCAGGTTAGACCATGGATTGATATCAGTGAGAGAAACATTGAAAACCAGCCAGAAAATACTGGACAGCCGTTTCGTGCACCTAATTCGGGACTCATCATCGGTACGCACCCTCCGCTACCTTTCTAACCTAGGACCCTCAGGTAACAAAGCAAGCTCTTATACCATTCAGCCACTGGGACCCGATTCAATGGCCAACCCATGAATTCTAACTTCTACCAATTTGTGATTTTAGCGCGACCACCAACCAATGTCATCCGCAGGGACTACATCCTCACTCCCGACTAAATGGACCTCAATGGTCATGACTTTTCACTAAAACTCCAGACAACTAACTTCGTCCTGGAGCAAGCATCAGATACCTATCTGTGGTCTAATCTAAAACAAATAGAATCTCTACAAACTAATTCTTGCAAATGACCTTTTTCTACGACTAATAATCACATGTCCACTCATTATGTTGTATTACAAGTTTGATCAGGAATTTAATAATAATAATAAAGCTTCATTTCAGACAGTATGCAAATATATAGTAAAAACATTTCCCGAGTATTCAGTTCCACAATACTTTTTTCTTCATACAGGATTTACATGCAACGTAATAATCTGAAGTAAATCTTCATCATTTCGTTGAAGAATTGCACAGTGTTTACTTGGAAGCCAGTTTAAATCAGCGCGCAAGTTCGTGTAAAGGTCATTTGATATCACTAAACGATTAAAACAATGATAAATCCAATTGAATTTTAGATTTTCCCGTTGATTGATTGGACCGAAGTGCTCAGTCTCAGCTTGACATGTCAGCTTCTTGTGTAGAAGCTTCGACGATATCTGGACATTTAATTAGAATTTAATTGGTCAATGATGATTAGCAGTAGAATTCAGGATGCGCATTTCGTCCTATTTGGGACTGGTAGTCAGCTGGATGTACCTACATTCCCCAGTGAGTGATGATGTTCTCACCGCGGCTCGAACCCAGTGCTTATAGTTTCCAACGCCAAAGCGTTATCCACTAAACCACTTGGGCCACGAAAGCCACCTCTTGTGCAACGGGTCATATTAATTTAATTGAATTTTAGATTTTCCTGTCGATTGATTGGACCAAAGTGCTCGGTCTCAGGTTGACATGTCGGCACTGGGTTCGAGCCTCAGTGGGAACATCATCACTCACTGAGAAATGCAGGTACATCCAGCTGACTACCAGTCCCAAATAGGACGAAATGCGCATCCTGGATTCCACTGCTAGTCACCATACACCAATTAAATACTAATGATAAATCCAGATGAAATTAATCATTTTGTTGGAAAACAACTCCGGTAACCCAGTGATTCAAGGAGACCACCCCCTGGAATTGACTTCATTTTATAGAAACATATATCTCAAAATTAGCAGAAATATGAATTCATGAGAGCAGTGTGATTGGATTCCATTCCAATAAATGTGTGAATCGTCAACAGGCTCCACGCTTCATAACCTGAAAGCCATGGGTGCGCTTTTTGCTGAAGAGCCTCAAACTAGGACGAAACAGCTGTGTGGTATCACTAGTGGTTTTCAAGTGTTTTCCTCTCTCTCTCTTTCTGTGTCTCTCGTGAACAAACTTGGAACTATGATAAACCAAGCACTTCTGCAAACTAACAGTTAGTTCGCTTTATAATTTACTAATGTTCAATTTTTTTTAAATAGATTTCAAATCATGAGTGACAAACAAAAGTGTAGCATAAAAACGAACACAAATATTTAATGTCTTCTAAGTGTTTTATGATTCACATACATACCACTTAACAGACATTTCAATGAAGGCTATTCTATGCATAAGAACAGACAAAAGGTCACACAAAAAGAGAAAACAAGCACATTCATGGTAGAAAATGACGTTGAAAAGAAAGGTCATAACTACAATCATATGAATGCCATATGAACACACAAGTGTACATAAAACGATCAGACTATTGTGTTTATTTTCATAGTCGTTGATTGTTTCAAGTTTATAATCCAACCAGACTGTGACAGAATTCACTCTTCATAATCAATGAATATTTCATTTCTTGTTTATGAGATTTTTATTCATGTATTGAAGAGATTTTCTCTATTTGAGTACGAATATATATATATATATATATATATTCATATTCATAATACTGACTGACTTGGTTTCAACAGAGAACTTTCCACAGAAGTGCAGCAATTCGAATTGCCACACTCCCTCCATGTGTAGCACATACAGCAAGAGAAGACATTAACACAGAGATTCATCAAAAGAGAGATAATAAACAGAAATGAGCCAAAAGGTATAGTAATATGGAAGAACAACAGAGTTTTACTGAATAGTATAAGTCACAAGGAGTGGATGCATCTGTGCAGTCATTGAGAACTAGGATTTTCAGCCATATCACCGATTATCTGCAGTCGTCATTGGTTCTTGCCATCCTGAAGACTTCAACCAACCAGGAAATCTACAACCCCCCCCCTAAGTGTGTTGTGGATTTCATTGACTGATTCACCAGCTGAAAAACCTCCTGATACCCTAAAGGTGAATTTCGCAGATTCACATTGTTGACCGAGTGGGTTTAAGTGAATAACTACACTCGCGTCTTGTATGCGTGTCTCCAAAACACAAAATACATCCATGGCTCGAGATGTCAGAGTTCTGGCGAGTGATGCCTGTATTCCGATTTGGCGGAGAGTCCTGCGGTTAAATCCCCCAATATTATGAAGTTAGCGGCATAGCTTTAACTGACTATCAGGAGTGTTTTTCTGGCACTCATCGCTATTTATGGTCACAAAATGAAAGGTAGATGACCAACGAGCCTGCAAAATAGCATTGACAGTAGCAGAAAAGCAAGATGTTGAAGGTGACGTGGATAAAGGGGAATAATGATCACGAGGGCTTCGTGTACTTTTGGAAGTGTATGTGTACGGGTGGTTGTCATTTCCCGACTGCCTACACCATGGAAGATTCATCATACAGGAGACTTCAAAAAAGAAAAGGGTTAATGCTACGTCAGATGAAGGATCGAGGCGAGTTGAAGAATCAGTGGAAACCAAAAAGCACTCAATAAACTATATATATGAGTACAAATGTGTGAACAAAACAATTCCAAAAGTGGTGTGAACACGGGCAGTAATTTTGCTCGAAATATTACCAATAACAAAACTTATCATTGTGTGTAAACTATTGAAATATAATTACACTTTATTTGTTGTCTTCATTTTGAACTCTTTATCAACCAGAACGCAATTGTATGGAGTATTGTAACCGAACTATTCTCCAGATTTCTTGTCTTATTTGGGTCAATTATTTTAGATTTTGTGTTGTTTTTCTGCACTGTTAGTCTGACGGACTCTGTTCTACTTTACTGATCTATGTATTTCACCTGAAAACCATTACAGACAGGGTATTAGATAAACTAATTTGTTTCATTTGATGGGCTGTAAAGGATCCTTTAACCGACAAGGTTTGCTTCTAAATGAGTTTGTGGGGGGTTTGAATGCCAGCCACTTTTATCCCTGCATTGTTAAGAATTCTAAGTAAGCTTTTCGAGGTTCCTACTTTGGATGGAAGTACTTACTGCTGACAATTTTGAAGTTGTGTAGTTATATATAACTGATGGTGTGATTGTGAATACCAAATTGTGTTGGAAACTTTGTCATCCGGTAAATAATAAAACTATTTCACTGTATGATATATCTAATGTACAAATTAATATGGAGCTACACACTACCAGCACAGTACCCAAGTTTTACACACACATTAAGAAAACAGTTACGCGGAACAGATTTTTTGTGTAACAGCAGGCTGTCAACCATATTTAAAATATGACAGCTGATGATGATAACTAGTTGTTCATCTTGAAGTAAGTCAAATGGGATTCGAACCTGGGATGAAACTGACCAAAAGTATAGTGTTTAAGCCAATGATGAGCCAGACATCTTTACAAGACACTTTTCATTAGGCTGCAAAGCTATTTTATGACAAGCTCATATTTCTTCTAGGTATAAACGCATGCATCCCTAGTCACCGCCTTCCTCGACAACAGGCAATGTTAGTTGATACGGAGTCAGTGAGGTTTGAAGAGAGCTAGTGGTGGTCAAACGAAGAAATGGTCTCATCAGTCAATGAAATCCACTACAGTTAGTTAGTTTAAGCCAGCCATGTAGGGAGGTGTAGACTCTCTGACTGTTTGGGATCGTCGGGATGGTAAAAACCAATGAAGGCTGGAGACAATTGGTAATATGGTTCAAAACCCTCGTTGTCGATGACAGCGCGGATGCATTCACTCCTTGTGATTCGTCATATCCAATAAAATTCTATTGTTCTTCCATATTAGTTTTCTTCTCCCCTCACTGACTCTTCTGTTTATTATCTTTCTTTACTCTCTTCTCTTGCTTTGTGTGGTAAGTGGAGGGAGTGAGGCAACTCGAAGTGCTACAAATCTGTGGAAAGTTCTCAGTTGAAATTAGTCAGTCAGTCAACAAATAAATATTTAGTGATTTAAGTATAAATTCCAAGATCCACTCAAAACTTAACTAAGAAGGGGATAAAAAGTTCAAACAAGAGTATATATATAATATATACAAGGTATTTTAACACAAATGTAACTCAACTTACTGTGAGTAGATTTTCTTTAATAAAATCAGTTAATAAATGACTTTTTAATTGTATTATAACATCTACAAATTGATTCACTGTAATTGTTCCTGTCTTATCTTCATCTAATTGTTGAAATGCTTGTATAGCATGTTCATCATTGAAATCCTACAACAATTTAATGAAATGAAGATGAAAAGAGTAAAGAAAAAGAAGAAGTATAAGAATATGGAGGAAATTATTATCACTTTTTTGTTTCTTTCCTGAATAATAAAATTACGTTCTTGAAGTATTGGTTTGTAGGGATTTGATTGATTGGTTACAGGATTTCATCATGAGCGCTGACATCGGTTAGAGAACCATTGGAAAACCTGCAGGGAGTACTGGACTAGAAGGTCCTGGGTTCGAATCCCAGGGGGCACGTACTACGGAAGCGGAGTCTCGGACTTGGACGAAACAGCTGTCCAGCACACCCAGCCGGTTTTCTAATGGTTCTCTAACCAATGTCAGCTCTCATGATGAAATCCTGTAATCAATAATGATGTTCTTTTACTTAGTAGGGTATACAAACACACATAGAATTCTTACTCGCACACACAACTATCCTCCTCCTCACCAATGCTGACAAAGCAACCAAAACAGGTAATATAAGGGGAGAGGGGGTGAATTCACTAACACAATGCAACTAAAAACTAAATAGTAGATAGAAAGGACTCTGACAAGCCAGGAGTCAACCAATAGCTCGTTGCTTAACATATATGTAAGCAGCTGAAGAGAAGGCGACGAAATAAAATATGGTACCATTTTATTCTGCAAAATCTGTAGTTGTTGCTTTGTTTAAATTCATTAAGGGGAACAAATGTATGAAATATATGCAAAAGGAAGTGTAGATGAACTGGACACACGCTAAGGAGGCAGTTGAGTCATGTATGTCATGCACAAAGCAGGCTGTCGAATGGAATCAGACTGGGAAACGGTGAGTTGGGTACATGTCCAAGAATGACATACACGGAGGAGACTGTATGACGAGGGAATAAAAACTTATAGGCAATCAAGAGGAGCCAGCTGAAAATGTCTGTAATGAACAGAGGAAAATGCAAAGATGTACTGCTGAAGTCACATTGTTATATACTCGAAATCTAAGGGGATAACTACAGTAGAAATAATCATGACTGAAAAAAACTACAAAGAGAAAAGACACCACCAACAAGGCGATATAAAAAAAGACAATTGGTAAGCAAGCTTTTACTAAACACCGAAATTTACATACAATGGGGTGTACAGGGTGAAATGCATGCGATCTATTGATAGATATGTCTTTCTCTCACAATTTTGTGGATAATGAGGTTGATTCCTGATGATAAATTAACAGATTAACAGGAAATTTAGAAAATCTGAAGGCGACAAAAGTTACTTTTTTAAAATATAACAACAAATCTCGGACCAAACTTTTACGAAATAAGACACTTCCTGACGGTTGATATAAGAATAGAACTTGTACATTGTGGTAGAGTATAATTCTATTGTGGGGAAAAATTTATTTTGATAAATCACACACTGTAGTGTGATACAGTAATATTTACTACTGATGACGACGTTTCGAGCACAATTTATTACTACTTATAATCATGCCAAGGTACTCACACAACTTTCTAACTTCGTTCATATAGTTTGTGGTAGACAGGGAGTAGTCAGATTGTCAGAAAATAAGAATTTACCTAAGGTTAGATTGACTGACCCCACGAAGATAAGTAATTTAGAAAACAAACTCAGATATAGCACTGAGGAATTATGGTCCTGTCCATCTCAAGCAAAATACTAAGCCGCATCATCCTGGAGAGAATCAAACACGCTGCCCTGGATGAAAAACTTCGACCGGAACAAGCTGGATTCAGAAGAAACAAGTCATGTATTGATCACATCGCCATATTACGGATCATCACTGAACAAAGCTTGGAATGGCAGTCACCTCTCTATCTCAACTTCATCGACTTTGAAAAGGCCTTCGACAGCGTCAATCGAGAGGTGCTTTGGCAACTACTTCGCTACTAAGGGGTACCAACGACAATTATATATCTCATCCAACAGCTGTACGACAATGCTGCATGCCAAGTAATTCACAACAAGAAAATTTACCGAATCCTTCGAAGTGAAGACGGGAGTAATACAAGTTGGCTGGTTGCCTACTATCTCCAATGATTTTCCTGATTGCAGTAGACTGGATAATGCGACAGACGGCAGGCAATGAGGAAACAGGCATAAAATGGACTCACACAAAAAACTTGGAGGATCTGGACTTCGCCGATGATATATGTCTGATTTCCCACAAACTGGAAGATATGCAAGCGAAAAGCAACAAGTTGGCAGAACAAGCATCAAGAGAAGACAGAACTTCAGGTGAACATAGAGAAAACAGACGTGAGGAAGATTCTTGGGCAACAACAACAGCAGATAACAATCAGCATAAATGGGATGAACCTGAAAGAAACATCCTCTTTTACCTACCTGGGAAGCATCGTTTCAACTACAGGCGGAACTGACGAAGATATCAAAGCAAGAATCGGAAAAGCAAGACAAGCTTTCACTACTCTCAAGTGTGCGTGGAGGTCAACAGCACTCAGCATCAAAAATAAGATCCGGATATTCAACTCCAATGTGAAGTCAGTGCTTTATACCGATCAGAGACTTGGTGCCTCATAAAAAGCATCTCAAACAAACTACAGACCTTCAATAACAGTTGTCTTCGCTCAATATTCAAGATCAGATGGCCACAAAAGATCAGTAACAGAGATCTCTGGGAGCGAACCAACCAGGAACCGATTGTGAAACAAATAGGCAGAAGGAAATGGAGATGGATTGGTGGCCATACTGTGAGGAAACCATCAAGTGACATCACTAGACAAGCCATCGCTCGAGTGGAACCCGAACGGGAAGCGGCGAGTTGGTCGTCAGTGCAAGGGTGACTTGGAGGAGGTCATGTGAGGAGGAGATGAAAGCGTGTGGGCAGACTCGGAGCCAGGTGAAGACTCTAGCAGAGAACCGAACGCAATGGAGACGCACGGCTGAAGCCCTATGTTGCTCTAGGAATTAAAGGAAACAATAATAATAATAGCACTGCATGCATTAACACACAACCACACAATAGGGTAGGTAGGATAAAGTCAAAATTCTAGAATGTAATGTAGGTAGGTGGAGAGAGAGAGGTTGATTGCTAAATCTTTGTTCATAGAATCTACACCCAACACACACAATAGGAATGACTGATCACTCATAGCAGAAATATGGAAAATACTACTACTACCAATCAAAACAAGCGATGGAAAATAATGGAATTATATAAACGAAGTTGGAGAGTTGTGTAAGTGCCTTGATATGATTATAAGTGGCAATAAATTATGCTTGGGACTTCGTCATCAATAAATATTACTGTATAATACTGTGAGACTTTATCTAAATAAATTATACCGACACTGGAACTTCCTGACAGTACAAGATATCCGATCAAATGACTTCAGAATGGATCAGGCCTTACCTATACATAGATGATTTTCTTGTGTAATCGCCATTAAGATTATTGATACTATATTTTCTATAGTTGGTTTGTAAGGATTAGATTCGTTTATACGCGTTGATCACGGATTCATAGCAGTTAGAGAACCATTGAAAACCAGCATTGGAATACTGGGCAGCTGTTTCATCCGCCTAGTTTGGGAATCATCGGCAAATCCCACATACCCACAACTGGGGTTCGAACCCAGGACCTACCGCTTACAAGGCAAGCTCGTATACCATTCAGACACTGGGACCCGATTCAATGACCAGTCCATGAATTCTAACTTCTACCAATTCGTGGTTTAGCGCTACCAAAAACCAATATCATCGGTGAGAAATCCATCCTCGCAATTGACTGCTTGGACATCACCGGTCACAACTGCTCACTAGAACTTCAGGAAACTCCGTCCTGTAGCAAGTCACTAGCGAGCATCAGATTAATTTTCAAGAGTTGGTTTGTAAGAATTAGATTTGTTTTTTACCAGAATTCATGGGCTGTTGAATCAATTCCCATTGGCTGAATAGTATACGACCTTGCCTTGTAACCGATAGATCTTTGGGTTCGAACCCCAGTCGGTGTGTACTGCAGATGGTTCCCAAACTGGGCGGATGAAACAGCTGCCCAGTATTCCAATGCTGGTTTTCAATGGTTCTCTAACTGATATCAATCCGTGGGCACACTCGTAAAAACAAATCTAATCCTCACAAACCAACTCCTGAAGATTTATTATAATTATTTTTTTTAATGGTTGTTTACACCCAGTGATATGATCTGTTTTTGATTCTAGTAATATTTCGAGAGGAAATTTATTTCCCGTCATCATGCCTATTGTTGGAAATGTTTTTGTTAACGAGTCTATACCTAGATATGTGGTAAAATTCTCGTCAACCACGAGACACATGGTCAGAGGTCGATTTCCAGCCGACGCACTCCAATAACCTCATACCTAGACAGGCCACAATCAGCTCAATAAAGAAAGAAAGCTGGGCGTGTGTGTGGCTAGTATCCCTCACTCCGTAAAATGAAATAACATCACCACCACTGGAGACTTCACTTCATAACTTGACCTCGAAGCCCTATGTCCTACTCGGAATGAAAAAAGCAAACAAATTGTGTATGAAGTGTTACAACTTTGTATTCAGAATTATATTCAATAATCAATCATGTTGACGGTTGTGCTGAGCAGTAGTCACCTTTGTTGAATATGCATACATTCTGTCATTGTTATTTTTTTCTCCCTTCACGTTCCCCGGTGGAACATAGGGCTTCAAGCTAGTGGCTTGAAGTTTCTGTAGCAGTGTTTATTTTACAGGATGGGGTTGTTAGCCTCATGCCCAACCTTTCCTCTTTACCAGCATTATTTCTGGCTTAGCGAGGTAAAGGAGTGCATTGGCGGCCGGGGATCGAACCCCGGACCATGTGCATGGTCGGCGAGCGTCCTAACCGCTATGCCACCGATGCGTTCTGTCATTATTAGTCTTTCTTAACATTTGTTCATAATCATTTACTTCAATTTATATATTCCCGTAGACTGATTGAATTAAATAGGTAATAAAACCCGTTGAATAAGTGGTGGCTCACGTGGCCCAAGTGGTCTAGTGGATAATGCTTTGGC